GATTTCAGGAGGAAAAGAGACGGAACTTACCCTACCACTCTCTCTCCCTGGGGACAGAATTTGTCCACTGGTTTTCCCAGTGGAGCTTAGCTGTCCCCTCTCCTCAACATAACCTTATATGCCTCCTGTGAGAAGGCACCTATGTTTAAGGGGAGTGGGCAGCTGCCCAAAGATCTTTTGTTCCTAAATCTATCCCCTGCCAGACTGACAAGCTGTCTAGAGTGCTCTCCATTTGAGTAATGTTCTAGGAGCCTTCTGGAGACATGTGCACAGTAATTGCCAGGACCACTCTGCTCCTTAGAGGAAGTAAAACACTTATGAACATATTAGAGGAATTGTTTGCCTATAGTGCTGAGTGTCTAAAATGTAGCACAGGAAATATAGTGGGATTTCCTTTGGGAAAGGGGGTGTCTGGAGCAGCCTGGATGGGGGCTAGACTGGATAAGAGGCTCTGAGCTCACCCAAGCCTACTGAAGATGACTACTGAGTCTGGGGCCTGCGATAGACAAACTTCTCCCCAGCTTGTAGCCCTGCCTCCTGGGACCACAGATGCTCCCTAGCCCAGCTGCCTCATTCTACAAAGGGGTAGACTGAGGCCTCCAGAGAGGAAGTGACTCATACAGTGGATGGGGACAAAGACAAGATGAGAGCCCAGGTCTCCTGAATCTACCAAACGTGGCTTTCTCTGCCCTGAAGCATCATCCCTGTCCCTCTCCATGTGGATACTAAATTATCAGGGCAAACTAGCTGCCTCCCCTCATTGCTGCATCAGTTATAAAGCTACTCCCATTTCCCAAGGTAAAGCCTCTCTTGCATCACTGGGGAAACATGCCGAGGATGCTGAAATCCATAAACCTCCAATGGGGTCAGGGGAGGGAGGGAGGAAGGGAGGTGCCTCCTTTGGGTTTCTTCCCCCAAGTCAGAGTGCACCAGACTGAGATTTGGGGGTGGGGGATAGTCTCCTCTCCCCCCATCCAGTTTAAAACTTGGGCAGCAGGGATTTGAGTTGAGCTTCCAGCCTTCCCATATCCAGAGAAGCTGCCTACTTCTTCCTGTTTTTGCCAAACTACATCTTGGAATTATGTTTCCTCTAGGAAGAACACTTTCCCTGCGGTATTCTCTTCTGAGTTCCCTCCTGGGTCCCATCACAGCCCATCTTGTATTCTATCTTCCTGTATATATGTCTTGTATCCCCTCCAAATGATGTAAATTCCTACAAGGCAGGACCTGGGCCATTTTTTTTCTCCTTCTAGCACAGTGCTATACACTTGATTAATGTTTATTGAATTGAACATTGAAGTGGGAAGCATTGTGTCTTCATGGACACGACTTAGGCCTCTTCCATGCATATACCAAGATAATATGGTCACTCATGCCCATAGACACATATGATCTCCAGAAACTCATCATTGTGCAAGATGAAATCAACTCTGAAATTCCCACCTCCTCTGCACCCCCACCTCTCACTGGAGAAGGTAAAGGGTAGGCATCAGAGAGCTCCATCCAGATCTTCTCCCTTTTAAGGAGGGGACCTGGGGCATTCACCTCATTGTTTCCTATCTGGCTACTCTCATGAGCTCCAGAAACTCATCATTCTGCAAGAAGAAATCATCTCTTACACTCACCCCACTCCACCTACAGTACTTCCTCATGCCACCCCGCCCCCACCCCCAGCCTTCTCCCTTTTCTTCTTTTTATGTGTTGTCTTCCCCCATTAGACCGGGAGCTCCTGGAGTGCAAGGACTGTCTTATGCCTTTCTTTGTATCCCCAGCCCTTAGCAAAGTTCCTAGCACATAGTAGGTGCTTACTTAATGTTTATTGACTGAAGAACATACCTGAAGCACACACACACAACACACACACACACACACACACCCCATGCTACTCTTCATCAATGCCTTCCTCCCACCTAACATTTCTTTCTGCTGAAGCAGCAATGTACCCTGAGGGAGAGACAGGAAGCAGTACATTGTTGGGTGAGTCAAACCACCACCATTCCCTCTGAGGCCACCTCCCCTTGGACAGAGGTGGAGATTGCTCAGAACCCAGAACCCAAAAGCCTGCAGAATGATAGCGTCCCAGGGCCACTGTCTTTGCTTCCAGCTCAGGCCCTATGGCTATCCTTGGGGGGAGCTATCACTGTGGAGAAGGGGACCATCTTCCTGGCCACCACCAGCACGAACCGCCACTGACTGGCTGGTAAACCCGAGTGCAGGGGGCGAGACCTCTCCTGCTCCCATCCCATTGCATGGGAGATGCAGCCATAGTTAATAGAGACCCATTCTTAGCACCCAGGTCCCTGGCACCATCAGATGGTTCAGCATTAGAAAATAATGAATGACACGAAAGGAGATACTCCCATCTGCTTTGCTTCTGTGCTCTGAGGACCATGGGACCTTTCTAAATATGTGTTGCCTCCTCCACTAGAATGTGAGCTCCTGGAAAACAGGGATCATCTTCTGTTTGGATCCCTAGCACTTAGCAAAGGGTTTTGACACAGTAAGCATTTAATAAATGCTTTCTCATTCATTCTTGACCAGTTGTGTCCTGGGCTAAACAGGAAACAGTGCCTTATGATAGCTAGCATTTATATAAGCACGTTACAAGCATCATCTCATTTTATCCTCACAATCCTGGGAGGTAGGTGTTATTATTCCATTCACATAGGAGGAAATTGAGGCAGAGGTTAAGTGACTTGTCCAGGGTCATACAGCTGAGGTCTGAGGTCAAATCTGAACTTGGGTCTCCCTGACTCCAGGTCCAGTGTATTATTCACTATGCTGCCTAGATACTGCCTTCTAGCCATGGCAAAACCCTAGGTCCCTCCTATCATTTCCTGACCTGGTACTCGTAACTCAGAGCATAAAGTAATCAGGTTGCTGTTCTCATCTTCCCTCACTGGAACCCGATCAGGTATTTGTCTTACATTGATCTCCACCTTCTCATAACCAGAGCTCACTTCTTGCCTGGTATAGCACCATAACCTAACTGGTCCCCTGCCTCTAAGCCTTCCCACCTCCCATCTATCCTGTACATACCTAGCTACCGAACCAATCTTCCTAATATAGAACAGCTCCCTGTCTAAGATCTTTCAATGGTTCCCTATTGCCTATAGGATAAAGCCAAATTCCCTTGACCTCATAGCTGGGTGGCACCATAAATAAGTCTGGACTCAAGAAGACTGGAGTTCCAACTTTGAAGGAATTAGGCTGATCAGCATAATGACTGACCAGATTTCAGAGGGCAGCTATGAAACATACTACCAACCTCCTAATGGAAGGGTGAAGAATGAGGTGTGCCTGTTTTTGGACACGGCCAATGTAGAAATGTGTTTTGCTTGACTACATATGTTTGTAATAGGGGTTTTGTTCTCCTTTCATTTTTTTTTGGGGGAGGTGGGGATTTGGGTAGGAGGGAGAGATGGCAGATGTTTGTTGAGTGAAGAAAAATATAATTTGAAAATGCTCAAGTTCTAATTTGGTCTCAGATACTTACTAGCTATGTGACCCTGAGCAAATCAGATCCTCTTGTCTGCTTCAGTTTCCTCATCTGTGAAATGGGCATAATGCCAGGGTTGCTGTGAGGGTATTTATAAAAGCATTATAGAAATGCTAGCTCTTACTTAACATTTCCTCAATCTGGTCTTCATCTGCCTTTACAGCCTTCTTTCCCACTCCTCCATGACAGGATGGTACAGTCCATCCATGTATCTTTATCATTGCCTAAATGGTCTATGTACATTCTAGCCTCTTTCTCTGCTGACTCCCTCTCCCTACCTGCAATATATTCTGTCCTTCAATCCTACTCACCCTTCAAGGCTCAGATCATATTGTATTTGGGAGAAGAGTCAGAGCAGCATATTGGAATACACACTGGATTTGGACTCATATTCTGTAAATCTGTAAGAGGCTGGGTGACCACTCTGGGGACATTGTCAATGGAATTCATGTTCTGCTACAAGTTCAATTAGGTGATTGTGTTAGAGCTCTTGGGTTCAAATCATGCTTCTGATATGTACTGTGGGGACCTTGGGCAAGTCAATTAATCTCCTTGGGCCTCAGTTTCCTCATCTGTAAAATGAATTTGGACTATCAAGTCTCCACACTTCCTTTCAGCTTGAGATAGATAATCCTGTGAAGTCTGGGATTCCCAGGCTGACACAAAGGGAATCTTGACCATAGCTGTCAAAATGCCTGCATGCAATGCACACTTACTAGTCCCAGAACAATCTGTCTGGACCATGACTGTCAGGGCTCTGTCTACTTCTAGGCGGCTCCAGGTTCCTGACTAGTCCTGGCTCTTTCTTAATGGCCAGCTTATCCATTAATCTTGTTCAAATCAGCCTTTTTGGGTCTGGGGTCCTGGATCTTGTGATCATCTCTGGATAACAGTTCAATGCTCCCAGCTGGAATTCCTGTTGGCTGCTGGCCTCAGGGAGGGAGACAGAGATGTTAAACAAATAAGGTCTGCACTCAGTAGGTGTTGTTTGGTAGTTTCAGTTGTGTATGACTCTCTGTGACCCCTTTTGGGGTTTTATTGGCAAAGATACTGGAGTGGTTTGCCATTTTCTTCTCCAGCTCATTTTACAGATGAGAAAACTGAGGTAAACAGGGTTAAGTGACTTGCCCAAGGTCACACAGCTAGCACCTGAGGCCAAATTTGAACTCAGGTTTTCCTGACACCGGGCCTGGCGCTCTATCCACTGCACCACCTCTGTGTCTGTCCCCATTCAGTAGGTGGTCAAGGAATGTTTATTGCTCATGACCCAACTTGTGGTCCTGGTTTCTGGGATAAAATGGATCCCCACATCTGCAGCCCAACTCCCTCCCCCCATTTTCTTGGCCATAAAAGCCCCACATTCCTAATCTCTAGGAGTCTGCCCTGTCAGATCTTCACTGATCCCTCTTCTGCTTGATCCATTCCTCCCATCCTGTCTTTCTGGCCCTAGGATGGGATGTGAGAGGTTCTGTCCCTGTGAATCAGGATGTGGGAGGAAAACAAAGAGAAAACACTGTTTTTAATCAACCCATCTGCACAGAAACCAGGGAGCACCTTTGGGGGGAAGGCGGGCGGTTGGGGGAGTAGTGTCCTGCTGGCCCAAATTAGAAAAGAAAGCAATTCACTTTACAAAGACTGTCTTAAAAAATCAAAAGGCTTCAAAGCACCAGTGGCTAAACCTGTAGAGTAAAAACGAGGAAGTGGGGTGGAAAGGGGGTGAGGAGAAAATCAGCTTGGGGATGGTGGGGAGATGCAGAGGAAGGCTCTGGCCCAAGAGGGAGAATAGAACAGAAAGCTAGGGATGTGTGGGGGAGCCAGCCTGGGCAAGGGAAGGCGGTTCAGAGGGTGTGTCTGGAAGCATCTGGCCCAGGGGCTTGAAGTGATAGGAGGGAGGTAAGAGGGAATGCTAGCCAGGCCTAGGAGGGAGCTGACCCGAAAGGAGAGGCTTCCTCCCTCTTTGTTCCCCAGGCTGGCCAGCGGGCTAGAGGCAGGGGCTGTGATTGCCAAGGGCTCCAGTCCTAGGAAGGAGGCTTCAGAGGGGCAAAGAAAGGGAGCTGGAGTCCAGGCAGAAAACGGGAAGGGCTATTGCTAAGTCCTGACACAGACAATCAATGGACTGATCCAACTGTTGGGACTCGGTGCTCCTAGAGGGGTTAGTGGCTACCAAAGGTCATCTGAGAGGCCAGAAGATATCATCACCAAAGGCCAAGAGGAGACTCAGTTCTTCTTCCCTTTGGGACACCTGTGTCCTACAGGGCCACCCTCTGCCCAAGTGTCTACACCTCCTCTCCCAAGAGCTAATCTGCTGAGTCCTTCCATTTTGCCCGATAGACTAGCACCAGGAAACGAGAATGGCACCCTCTTTACAGATGAGAAGAGGGAACACTAAGGGCTGAGCTGGGTGTCCAAAGCGCCCCATCCAGAACTTAGTCCTGGTACGACTGCTCCTACCAAGCAAGGCTAATTCACCTGGGTAACTGTGTCTTGCCCTGAAGAAGGAAAGGAGGCCACAAGATGTCTCCCACCAGTATGTTCCACAGTAAAGAGAAGCAATAGGTATTCTACCCTTCCAAATATCCTGGTCACCCCCGCAGCACCCTTTCCCCCTCCTTTACATGTCACAGATGTGGAAAAGTATGTCAGATTTGGGTGGCCTCCAAACTCCCCAATGCCTTGGGTTCCTGAGTTCCAAGGGGGTTTGATAGGCCCTACAGAAAGGAGGAGTCACCCAGGAAGGGTGTGTGTGTGTGTGTGTGTGTGTGATGTTAATCAGCCTTGACATTTCTTCCAGGGCTCCAGCAGCAGCTGGTTCTATATTCTGAGAGATCTTTTCCTACCATCCTAGAGGCCATGGTAACTTGAAGGGGTCTATCAAAGACAGGAAGATGCAAGATGGCGTGTGTGTGTGTGTGTGTGTGTGTGTGTGTGTGTGTGTATGTGTGTGTGTGTGTGTTGGGGGGGCTGTCTAGGTCACAGCCTGTGGGGGGGCTGGGGAAGAGGACAAAAGAAAGGTATGATGAGAAACGAGGAAGAAGGAGGTGTTTGGGCCAGGCAGGAGAAGAATCACTGTGGCTGGCTCAGGTCAAGAAGACCCAAGAAAGGAAAGAACTGGTTTCAGATTTTTCTTTCCTTTCTGGAAGAGGTGGGTAAGAATTCCCTATATGAAGGTAAACTTCTCTCCCTCCAATCACCAGCCTCTGGCAACTTTTCCCCAACACCAAGAATTGCTCTATTGCTTTGACAGAGACATTGGTAGATAGACCTGGTAAATAGACCAGGCAGTGCGGCAGGAATATGAGTGTGGGGGTGCGGTAGGGTGCGGGGAGGCTAATAGGGGAAGACGGAGGCTCTGTACCTGAGTGGTGGTGAGGAGAGATATAAAGCTAAGAGATCCGGGGCTGTGTGAGGGAGGGAGGATGGAAGCAGTGTACGCGGGTTACGAGGCTGATGTCTGCTCTGGACGGGTGGGGTATACCAGGTTAATGGGGAGGAGAGGGAGCTGAAGTGTGGATGGTATGTGTAGGCGGGGAAGAAAGGGGATGGTAGTGCTGGGGCTGGAGCCTGGGCTGAACAGGAGTCTTCACATGTTATTGTTTGACTTTGGGGTCCCTTTGACAATCTGCCCTCCTGGAAGTGGGTCCCCCACAACAGAAAGGAGAGGGGCTCCACTGCGGAGGGGAGGGGCTCCCCAGTGGAAGGGGGTTGCAATTGCCACGTACAGGAAGGAGGACGGGTAGGATCAGAGAGGGGAGGTACAGGCTCAGTACCAGGGCTAAGTTTAAAAAAACAAACATACAAATTCCACGAGTCCCTTCCCCTCCCTCCCCCCAAGTTCCCAGGGCTAAGCCAGGGGCCCGGCCAGCTGCTCAGGGTCCAGTCCCCTCCTCCGCCGGCAGGTCCGAATCGGGGCTGTGTCCTCGCCGGCCGGCAGGGGGCGCTCTTGTCCGTGGCTCCGTGGGTGGCCGCCCCGCGGCGTGGGCGCCTGGCCCAAAGCAGAGCTTGGCGGGGCTGGATGCGCAGCGGGCGGCCCGGGCGAGAAGAGGAAGGCGGCTCCCCGGCGGCAGCGCAGTCAAGTCCAGAGGGCGGGGTCCGGTGTCCAGCGCCGGGGAGGGCCTTGCTGGGGGCTACCCCGACCTGGGGGGAAGCCAAGAGCGATCAGTGCAGAGGAAGCAGGCAGGGGACCGCGCCAGGCCACTGCTCTGGCCGTCCTGCGTCCTCCCTGGCCCCTGGCCCGCCCCACCTTCCATGCCCAGCCCGGCCTCTCCCCGACTGCTCCTGGCACTGAGAGCCGTTAGGGGCAGACCTTGCAAGCCTTCCCGTGCACAGCTTCTCAGCCTTTGGTGGTGGTGGACCCTGGGCTTTGGCAGTCTGGGCAAACCTCAGAACCAGATTTTTAAAAGCTTAAAGTAAAACAAATAGAATAATAAAGGAAACCAATAATATTGAAAGTTTAAAAAAAAACCAACTAGGTGATAACACTTTAAGGTTTGCAAAGCACTTTGCAAATGTTATCTCATTTTTTTCTCACAAAAATCAGGGAAGTTAAGGGTGTGTTATTATTTTCCCCATTTCACAGATGAGGAACTGAGGCAGACAGGTCCAGTGACTTGCCCAAAATCACACAGGTACTAAGTAGCAGAGAAAGGCTCAAACTCAGGTCCTCTGGTCCCAAATCCGACATTCCCTCCATGGAGCAGGCTGCCAGCCCAGCCCTGTGCCCATCATGTCTCCCACTGTGCCCTGCCCCTGCCCTCTTGCCTTTACCACCCTGGGTACTTACGTGTACAGAGGCTGCAGCTGTAAATGTGATGTCTTCTGAGGGGCCTGGTAACCGTAGGAATCAAAGCCTCCAATGAAGTCAACTGTGGAGAGAAGTGCCCAGGGAGGCTCAGGAGAGACAATGCTATGGCCAGGAGGGGACAGGGTTGGCCTGAGAGGGGCAAAAAGCTACGGTGATGCTGCTGGGGTGGGGTGGGGGGCAGGAGAATAGGCCAAGGGGAAATTGGGTGGAGCCCACATATGACAGGCAGGAAGTGCCCTAGGGGCCTTAGCCCAGGGAAGTGGGGAATGGAAGGGATTGTTTCCAACTGGGGCCTGGGGCAGGAACTGGGTTGGGTTCCTCAGCCCCAGAAGACTCATCTTCTCTGGGGCACAAGGGTCTGCCTGTGCCATAGGGCTGTAGGCCACAGCTGGGCACAGACCCAGGGATATGGAGGCAGGATTCCCTGCTTCAGCCCCAGGGATGCTATTGCCTTCCACTGCTTCCTTTGCCCAGGCCTATAGGAGCCCTAGGGGGTATCAGCAGGCCACCTGGGCACCCCCATGTCCAGGAATCTAGGGCTGGCACTCACAGCTGTCCTCTTCCTCCAGGAACACTTTGCTGACGTAGCAGGCATACACAAAGCCAAACAGCTAGGGGAAGAGGGGAGATGGACAGTCAGTGGAGCAAGGGGTGGGACACCCTCTCCCCCCAAGTCCAGTCTTCCCTTGGGCAGAGTGGTAAAGTCATTTTTTTTAAAAAAGGGATTCCTCTCCTCTTCCTCCACCCCCTTAACTTGGTAGAGGCCAGGACTCCTGAGCTGCTAGGGCTGACAGTCTCATCACCCCATGGCAACTTCCTGATTGTCAGGACTCAGCTGAACGAGAGCTTAGACACAAAGTCCATTACTGTGAGCCTGTACTCAGAGTCTCTATGGCTGGGGGCATTAGCTGCCAGAATTAATGTTCTGCTGGCACAGCCTTGGAGAACCCAGGATTTCTTCCGGGCCTGGATGAGACATCCGTTGCAGGCAGCTCTGTCTGCAAGCTCCTTAGTGTGGGCATTCTCTCCAAGGGTGCTGAATGAAGCCCACCCTGCACCTCTCTCCTTCAGGACTCCTCCATGTTCTCCCAGAGATCTTGCACAGAGGTCAATCATAATATTGATAGGAGGAATTTATATGCTGCTTTAGGTTTGCTCTGACTCAAAGTTATAGAAGAGTTGGGATTCAGCATGGCAGGTGTGATCCTACCAGCAAAATCACAGTTTATGCCCCCAAATCAGCAAGGGTTGGCAAAGTACCTTATATACATACATTCTCACTTAAGCTTCACTACAGGTGGCACAGTGGGTAGAGTAGTGGGCCTGGAGTCAGGAAAATGTGAGTTCAAATCCAGCCTTAGACACTTATTGGCTGTGTGGTCCTGGGCAAGTCATTTAACTTCTGTCTGCCTCAGTGTCCTCAACTGTAAAATGGGGACAATAACAGCACCTACCTCGAAGGATTGTTGTAAGGATTGAATGGGATGTCCCAGTGAAGACTTCTCAGTGTAATTAAGGTTTGGGATAAGACTGGTAATGAGTAATAGGGTTAAGTATAGATTTCTGTAAGTTTTTTTAGTGCCATATGTCAGTAGTTAAAATTTGTCTAGTTGTTAAGCCTTAGCCTACTTTTTAATCTTATTCAGATGCACCATTGCCCCTAAAAAGAATCTGGCTCCAGAACACCCTTAAAAGGTTCCTTATCTACTCCCCTTATCTCCCTTTGAAAGGACCTCACTCAGATGCCTTCCTGTTCCCTCCATTATCTAACCCCATTGTCTATTCAATCTCTCAGACCTTCCAAAACAGTTGTGAACCATCTTTCTGCCATGGTGGCCTGGCTAACTGACAGCTAGTGGGAGGGGGAATTTATTCATTAGGGCTATTTAACCCAGCTTTCTGTTTCTGTGTCTTGGTCTCCCCTCATCAGAGCATACTGGTAGAGGGACACCCAGATCTTCAGATTTGGAATGACAATAATAAATTAACTTTCTGTTTCTCCTTGGACACCTCTGTGTTTTATTTATTTATTTTTTTTAATTTGAGTGGCATCCCACACAGGATCAAACGAGATAAGATTTGTAAAGCGTTTAGCACAGTGCTGGGCACGTAGTAGGTATATATGCTTTTTCCCTGCCCTATTATTGTTTGGTCATGTCTGACTCTTTGTGACCCCATTTTCGGTCACTGGAGTGGTTTGCCATTTCCTTCTCCAGCTCATTTTACAGATGAGGAAACTGAGGCAAACAGGTTTAAGCGACTTGTTCAGAGTCACACAGCTAGTAAGTGTCTGAGGCTAGATCCAAGTCTTCCTAATTCCAAACCCAGTGTGCTATCCATTGCACCACCTAGCTGCCCCTATTCCCTTCCCTAAAACCTTGGGAAGTAGGTACTAAATATGTGAAGAAGCATGGGAGAGTGGATAGAGTCCTAGCTTGAGAGTCAGGAAGACTCAGGTTCTCATATCCATCCTTCCTTCCCTCCTTCCTTCCCTCCTTCCTTCCTTCCTTCCTTCCTTCCTTCCTTCCTTCCTTCCTTCCTTCCTTCCTTCCTCCCTCCCTTCCTTCCTTCCTCCCTCCCTCCCTCCCTTCTCTCTCTCTCTATCTCTCTCTCTCTCTCTCTCTCTCTCTCTCTCTCTCTCTCTCTCTCTCTCTCTCTCTCTCTCTCTCTCTCCCCTGACTCCAGGGCCAGGGCTCTATCCACTGCGCCACCTAGCTGCCCCTTCTCATACCATTTCTTATACACCTGGCTGTGGGACCCTGATCAAGTCACTGAATCTCTCTGGCTCTGCTCCTTTGTAAAAGGAAAGAGTTGGTCTATGTGACTTTTAGGTCCCTTCCAGCTCAAAATGATCCCATGTACTTTGGTGGTTCTAGCTTTTCCACACTTGGGATTTCACCAGTGCGGGCCATATTAGGTGGGGCATCTCCCTGCAGTGATGCAGATGTCGAGTGAGCAAGTGGCTTAACTCCCTGGAGTCTGATTTTCCTCATCTGTAAAATAAGGAAGGAGGGCTGAATGACATCCAAAGTTCCTTCCTGAGCTCTAGGTCAATACTCTAGTGATTCAGCAGCAGCTTTTCTATAAATTATAGTTTTGAGTGGGGTGGGGGTGGGGGGAGGGCTGAGAAGGTAAGTGATCTGTCCCTGGTCAGATTTATCCTCTGTAACTGTATCCTACCTCTGTAGGATGTGAAGCCAGGTCTTCCCGATTCCAAAGTGGGCCCTGTATCTGCTATGCCAACTGCCCATCTGGCTTCATGTATTATTATACCCATCTTATAGATGAGGTCATTAAGCCAAGGCTCACAGAAGTCGGTTATAGTCACACACTATTAAACATTGGAAGTGGGATTTGAACTGATATCTTCTTGACTCCAAGTCAACCTAATATGCTAAAGAGCCCTCCCTGTAGGTGTCTGAACATTTTGTGGGTACCAGCAAGGCACTGAGGCTGCCAAACAGCTCTTGCTCTGTGGCTGGCCCGTCTCCTTTGCTGATCATATACTACTATGACTTCTTCTTTGTCTTCTTCTTCTTCCTTCTTCTCTTCTTCTTCTTCTTCTTCTTCTTCTTCTTCTTCTTCTTCTTCTTCTTCTTCTTCTCCTTTTTGTGAGGCATTTGGGGTTAAGTGCCTTGCCCAGAGTCACACAGCCAGTGTGTGTTATGTGTCTGAGGCTGAATTTGAAATCAGGTCTTCCTGACTCCAGGGCCAGTACTCTATCCACTGCAGCACCTAGCTGCCCTGATCATATACTTCTGGAAAAAGGTGCTTTCCCTGTCATTCTCTCTCACTGGATCCTCACTAACCCCCATGACTGAGGTAGGGAAGGAATTATTGTTCCCATTTGATTGATGAGGACACTGAGGACCAGAAACAATGAAGCATCTTCTTGTCCAAGGTCACAGAGAAAGTCAGGTTCAGCACAGAGACTAAAGGTCTCTTGAGACCAAAATAAATGTGATTTTCATTGAACTTATTTATTGGCCCACTCTGAACAATACAATGATCCAAGACAATTCTGAAGGACTCATGATGAAATATGCTATCCGCCTCCACAGAGAGAACTGATCAACTGAGTGCAGATTGAAACATACTTTTTTCACTTAATTTTCTTGACTTTTTTTTGCAACATGGATAATATGGAAATATGTTTTGCATGATTTCCCATGTAGAATTGATATCATGTTGCCTGCCTTCAATGGGTGGGGGAGAGGATGAAGGGAAAGAGAGAATTTGGAACTGAAATTTTTTAAAAAAAATAATTAATTTAAAAAATTATTGGGATATAGAAATCTATCCTGCCCTACAAGAAAATTGAAGGAGAAGGGGATAAGAGAAGGAGGGGGAGAGATAGAAGGGAGGGCAGACTACGGGAAGGGGTATTCAGAATGCATGTCATCTTGGGGTTGGGGTAGGGACGAGATGGGGAGAAAATTTGGAACTCAAAATCTTGTGGAAGTGTATGTTGAAAACTACAAGTAAATAAACAAATAATTTCTTAGCTCTACGCAGATGATTCACAGATTTATTTTTCTAGTCCTACCTTCTCCCCCTGGGCTTCAGTTCAGTGTCACCAACTGCCTCAATATCATGTAATTTCTGCTCTGGAGAGGCCAGTCTGGGCCTTCACTGGCCCAGTTCCAGTTCTCCTCTGGACTTCCCAGCCATTTCCATGCCTTGTTGCCTTCCATATACTTTCCTTCCCACCCCTTTCTAATTCTCCTCTTTGTAGCTTCCCCATTAGAACGTAAGTTCTGTGAGGGCAGGGACTATTTTCCTTGCTTGTACTTTTATCCTCAGTATTTAGCATGGTGCCTGGAACACAGTAAGTGCTTAATAAATGCTTTATTTACCTATCTATCATCTATCTATACCTCTTCTTGCTCAGTTTCCTCAACTCTCATTTTAGAGAATAATAATAGCATCAATTTGGAAGGGTTGGTGTGAGGATAAAATGAGATATTTGTAAAAAGTGCCTGGCATATTGTAAGTACTATATAAGTGCTTATTTCCTTCCTTCATCCATTTATCCATCTATCTATCTTTCTTCTATCCAACCATTATGTATTTATCTGTCTACTAATCTATCTACCTGTCAGCATCTATCCATCATTTATCAACTAATCTATCTTCCATCTATCCATCTGTCATCTATTTATCCATCTTCTATTTATCTATCTGTCTTCCATCTATCCACCCATCATCTATTACTAATCTATTTTCCATCTATCTATCCCTCTATCATCTCAAACTCGATATCCCAGAAATGTCTCAAACTCAACACGTCCAGAACTTGTTTCCCTCAAAGCCCACCCCTTCCACATTTCCCTACTTCCATCAAAGGCACTGCCATTATTTTAGGCTTCCATTAAAGGGTATAACCTTGGCATGATCTCGAACTCCTCACTCTCCCTCACCCCACAAATTCATTCAGTTGCTGAATCTCGTTCTTTCTAGCTCTGAAGCCTGCAACAAAGATTTTAGGGGGTTAGGCTTCCGCAGCAGGATAAGAAATTCCAAGATCTCATGGGTAGTCCCTCAACCAATCAGAAAGTACTCCAAACTTTTCTATAAACAACCAGTTCCTTAAGAAAGAGCCCTAGAGGCTAAACTAGTTGCAACCCATTGGGTTTAAGGATGGGGCCTTTCTCCACTGTGCTTGCTTAATAAGCTTATTGAATATGAACTACACACCGCAAGGGTGGAGACAGCTGCCATCTTTGAACATGGGACCCATGAAGTGGGCAGAGTGAACAAAACATGGATAAACATGCAGTGGGCTGTCCAGGAAGGGTGTGACTCAGATGAACTAGACCAATCATAGCCCTGATGGGTGGAGTATGGATCTTGCTTATGGTTTAAAAGTTGATTCTACCACTGAACCAGTGCCCATGTGTTACTAAAGTGCATTGTGCCCTTCTCGAGAAGTGTCATACTTTCCTTCCCTCACTCGCTGTAGTAGGTTTTTGTTTCAGATTTTTCTAACAAGCCCTTCTCACATCTGACTTCTTTCTACTTGCACAGATGGCCCCCTATTTTCCAGCCCTCATCACTTTCTTTAGAAGTTATTGCAATAGCCTCTTCCTCGGTCTTCCTGCCTACCATCTCTCCATCTCAGCTTCCCGAGTGGTTTTCTGTAAGTGCAGATCTGACCATATTACTCTCTGACTCAACAGACGCCAGAGGTTTCTTGTTGCCTTTAGGAAAACAAACAAACTCTTCTGGCTTTTAAAATCCTTCCTAACTTGACTCCAGCATGTCTTTCCAGACTCATTCTACAATACTTGTTGTCTTGTATGCTACGAGCTAGCCCAAACCAGATTTCTCCCTATTCCTCACATACAGCTCTCCCCTCTCTGTCTCCTCGTCCAGATACTGAATACTTAAACTCGGCCTCAAAGAATCTCTCGCTTTCCTCAAGGCATAGCCCTGCCTTCTTTCTGATGCCTTTCCTGATTCCCACCCACCTCCAACTGCTGGTTCTTTCACTCTCTAACTTTACTTCATATTAATTTTGTGCTTATTTTGCATGCATTTATATACGTGCATCTTGTTTCCCCTGACAGAACCTTAGTAAGGTCCTTGAGAGCAGGAATCGTTTCATTTATGTCTTTGTGTCAGCATCATCTTGCACACTTCATCGCACGTGATCATGCTTTATAATCCTTGATGATTGGCTGATTGTACCAGGCTGCCTACCTGGAGGGAAGAGCCCTAAGGGTTCTCTTAGCTGGCTGCCCCCTGTTCTGGGATCTGGGAATGGCTCTAGTCTTGCCCCAGTAGGTTGAGTCAGGAGGCGGAATATTCTAGCTTTTAGATCACAGCATTCCACACCTAGGGAGAGGAGAGGAGCTCAGGGGAAGGCTTGTGGGGGCTGTAGGGTAACTCACTGCCAGGAAGATCTGAAGGGCGCTGCTGAGCACCTCAATGTAGGGGTAGTCAAGCAGGCAGCCAGTGACGGTGATGACATGGTGGTCCTCCAGGGCCAGGCGGGAGTTCAGCACGGGTGTCACCAGGCAACCAGGGCCATTCTCCATCCACCAGGAGCGATGCAAGGATGTATTGAATGTCATGATGAAGTCTCGGTCCTAAGGAGATCGGTATCCAGGAAGTCTAAGCTTCCCCCGCCCCTCCACTGCCCTCATTTAGGTCAAGATGGCCCCAGAGGAGAAGAAGAGGCCGAAAACTATCCTTGGCCAAGGGAAAAGGAAATCAGTTTGGCTTCCTTACCTTGAGCACCTAGGAACAGTGGCCTAGGGGTTAGGGGGGACCTAAACTTCTCATTCCCGTAGAGACCCCACATCAGGAAAAGGAATCAGTACTGTGCTCTGTCTCTCCACTCCTGACCCTCAGCTCGGTGCTCTGTGGCCTCCCACCCCCTACCAAAAAACCCCCCCAAAACTCTAAAAAAAATCCTCCTCCAAGTGAAAGTAGAAGAATGGAAGTGCTGAGAAAATGCCATTGTGGCTACTGCAGGCCTGGGGCTTGTTTTGAGACCTAAGACACTGAGAGAGGTAGGGACCTTTGTCCCCTTCCACCTTTGTCCCTGCCCCCATATCCAGTCCTGGTATCTCTGTCCTCTGTCCATCTATGCTTGGGTACTGAAGGTCCATCCCCCACCACCATGTATCCTTGAGCCCTCCCTCCACAGCACAGCCCCTTCCCTGCTTCCCTCCCTCCCTCCATTCCCCCACATCCATGGGCAAATTTGCATTACACAAACATTGCTTAACATAGAGGTCTACAGAATGGTCCACTTACGTGAAGCAAGAACTGTCTGTATCGTACCTAGAGGTTACATACATTTTTACATTATCTTGGACTATCCTTGTAATTTTCGGTAGACAAAAGGCCCTTCCTTGGTCAACTCTCCCCCTTTTGTGTGTTACTCCTCTGTTAGGGTGCAAGTTCCTTGAGGGCAGAGATTGGTTTTATTTTCCTTATTTGTATCCCAAGCATTTAGCACAGTGCCGGGCAATTTAAGCACTTCATTCATTCATCATTCATTCCTCTCTCCTTCCCCCATTAGAATCCCTGGTTTCCTCTAAAACTTGGCTCAAATGCCATCTTCTGTAAGAGGCTTTCCCAGTCTCTCTCTCCTCTCTTCTCTTCTCTCTCTCTCTCTCTCTCTCTGTCTCCCTTCTCTCCAACCTCCCTGCTCTCCTCACTCTCCATGGTAGTTTTTTATCTGCTCCATATCCATTGCATGTACCTGTCTATTTAGATTCTGTGTCCCTGGTTAAAGTGCAAGCATCTCGGACTGTTTTGGCCTTTCTTTGTGCTCCCCACCCCCAGGCTTGGTTTAGCGTAGTGCCTGGCTTTTATTAAGTACTTAGTAAATTTTTATTGATTGGGCTGTGGACAACTGTCTTCCCTGATGTTTCTCTTAAATTATGTTTGATTTCCCACCTGTATGTCCTTGCAGTGGGCTGTCCCTGCCTCCCTTTCGCCTTTTGGAAACCCCACCCACTTGGATGCTAAACTCAAGCTGCTTCTTCTTGATTTCTCAGTTTGTTATTGTACCCAGATTTCCCCGGCCAATTACTGTGTATTTATTCTGTGTCTACCTTGTACCCATGCATCTCTATGTGCATGTTTTATTACCTTTGTAGAATGGAAGCTTCCTGACAGCAGGGACTGTTTCCTTTTTATCTGTGTATCTCCAGAACCTAGTTCTGGCACTATGTACCTGGCACATAGTAAGTACTTAATAAAGGTTTTTCGCTCATTCACTCACTCACCCCCTCACCCCTTCACATTCATTCACTGTTGACTGATCGCTCTCATTTACAGCAACTGTGTAGGATAGGTAGTAGAAGTATTATTATTTCCATGAGGAAACTGAGCCTCAGAGAGAGTGAGTAAGTGACTTGTCCAAGGTGACCTAGTAAATGTTTACTATGTTCCAAGGGTCAAGCTGGCATGTGTTTGCTCCATGTGGGATGGGTGCACATGTATCCTCGCAGGACACACTTGGAACAAGGGGAGGTAGAGGCAGGCAGAGGCTCTTCCTGGATTCCCTAGGTGGTGGAGGTAGGAATTGAAAGAAAGAGAAGGCAAAGATTGGAAGAGAAGGTGTGTATGTGTATCTGTCTATTCATCCTTCCTGGTGGGAAAGAGTCCAGGGCTTTGGACTGTTCCTGTAATCTTACATATGGCCAGCAGGGGGAAGTGCTGGGCCACACAGGTATCATTTCCTTGCATTCCTCAGGATAATAGGGGTGATCCGTGGTGCTGTTACTCAGTCATACAGGCACAGTGGGGAGTGGAAGGGAGACTGCCCGGAGGGACAACAGAGAAGACCTCCCTCACCTTGTAAGCCAGCCATTAATGCTTGATTCTGTATCTCCATTCCTTCATGGTGACTGACCCCAGCTCACAGACCCTGACTGGTGCTAGGTTATCATCTCTTGGGGCAGAGTGCCACAGTAGGGCATGTAGGCTCCTTAGCTCCAAGACAAGATTGAGGGGTGGAGAGCTCTTAGACCCATGGGGATAACAACACCTACCCATCGGGGTTGTTGTGAGGATCAAATTATCTCTTTGTAAAGTGTTCAGTACAGAATTGTGCACATAGTAGGTGCTATATAAATGCATATTCCCTTCCCTTCCCTCTCTCCCACCTGGAACACTGATATAATTTGGGTCAGAAGCTGCCTGGGATAGGGATGGGCAAGAGAAGACCAGGCTGGGGTGCTTACCTGAGACAAATGCCCAACTTCCAGGTAGAAGCAGATGATGAATGCATTCCAGCCGACCCAGAGAACAAGCCAGCCTGCATACTGGGGAGAGAACAGAGGGGCAGGCAGTTGGGCCAATGTGCTTAGTAGTGGGCTCTATGTGAGGAGCAGAGCCAGAGAAGCTTAGAGCTGGGAGGGTGCTCAGAGATCATGACGGGGAAACAGGGGGCACAGAAGATGTTAGGAATCCATTGGTGCCTATCTGTCAGGGGGAAGGGCAATCTGCGATGAGCTGGCTCGACTAGAAACCCCAACCCAGGTTCCATATGTTTCTTCTGCATGATCCAGCGTCTTCCCCAAGTTCCCATTGCCCTGTTCTCAATCCCTGACTCAATCAGCCTATAAACACCCCTAGTCTGACCCCACCCTCCTCCCTGCAACCAAAGCCAGCCTCTAATAACATAAATAACACCCAGGTGAAGGGACAGTGTTTGGAGGGGTAAGTTCTGGAGCACTGAGGTCTGGACTGGAGAATTCCTGGGAAAAGACTGCAGAACCTGAGATCCTACAGACCCCAGATGTAGCCCCCTTTGGAAAATGGCATTCTGCCAGAAAGGCCCAGTCCTTGGCTACCTGTAGAGAAGAGAACAATGTGGGGGTAAGGGAAGTGGAGGTGAGGGGAATGACAAGGTGGGTTATTCTATTCTGGGGTTGATTCATTTATTCAACAAGCACTAATTATGTACTTACTGTGTGCCAGGCACTGTATTACAAAAACAGAAAAAAAAAAGATTCAGGCTCTTCCCTCAGGGGACTTAATGTTTTATTGAAGAAGAAGCTTATATTGTATTGGGTCTAGGGGCACACCACTGGACCAGAGTGCTATGGAAGAACACCATTTTATGCATTTGACTTTGCAAGGCTAGTGCCCCTGAAACTTATTTCCCTTCAGGCACTAACCAGGGGTGGGGAACCTGCTAACCCTTCCATTCCAGGGCTGTTACAGTCCAGTTTAGCTAAGCTTTCCCATGCATGCATGTGAATGAATGTGCGTATATACGCATGTATGTAAATGTATGCACATGTGTGTATGTATGTGTACATATGTATACGTGTGTGTGTATGTGTGTGTGTGTGTGTGTGTGTGTGTGTGTGTGTAGTGTCTGGCAGGGGTTGATGGGAACAAAAGACTGAAGCTCATTTGCCCCAGCCCCTTGTCCTGTTATACTGGGAGAGACCCTTCCCTTTCCTGGGTCTTGGTCCAAGGGGCTCCTCCTCCCTTATCCCATCTTCCCCAAGTCCTGAAGGCTGCTGACAGCCAGCAGCTATAGACCATGGCAGAAGGCCCGTTGGGAGGGAGAGAAGAGCTCACTTCTTGGTGACCATTGTCACCTACGGGAGGGCTTTGGGGACTGTAGGTGGGGTGATCAGTCCGATTCAAACCAACAAGTATCCATTAAGCACATGCCCTGTATAAGGCACTGTGCTAGTTGTGGAGGATATAAAGACACTCCATCTGCCCTCAGGGAGCTTACTTTCTACTAGGGGGTGCTGGAGGAGAGGATATAGTCCATAAAAGGACATGGGTCTTCCGTAACTAGATTGAGGATTTGGAGAAACCCAGGGTCAGGTATTTCATATATAAAAATAGGATCATAGAAATAGAGATTTAGAACTGAAAAGGACCTTAGAGGTCATCAACAGCAACCTCTTCATTTTACAGAGAGGTTATGTGACTTGTCCAGGGTCACACAGCAACTAAGTGCTTAGGGTGAGATTCAAAGTTGGATATTCCTGACTCCTACCATGATGAGATATCTGGATCGGTACTGCACGGTCCCAAAGATGCCCAGGATGACCGCCATGATGTGGAGGAAGTTGGCCAGGATGGGAGCCCACTGGTAGCCCAGGAAGTCAAAGACCTGTCGTTCCAGGGCTGCTACCTGAGGGCAGGAAAAGAGAGAGAAAAGGCTGAGGATCCAGGAGAAAATAAATGCAAGTTACTCGGTGTGGCATTGAGGGCTCTCCAGAATCTGACACCTTCTGAGCTACCCCGTTGTACTTCATGAGCTCTCTGGGCCACTAAACGGTGGCTCTTGGCTATTTCTGGCACGCTACATTTTATCTGTTCTTTGTCCTCACCTCCAGGACCGCCTCACCTCCAGGACCGCCGATCCCTACACCTTTTATAACACCCTCCTCTCTGGGTTTTCCTGCTGCTCCCCTCCCTCAGTTCCCCTCTTAGCTATCTGCTCTTAGTTTCCTTTGCTGATTTTTCATCCTTCTCGTGTCCTCTAACTGTTCATGTCCCATAAGGGTTTCTCCTGAGCTTGCTTGTATCGCTATACTATCTCCCTTGGTGATCTAAATAGCTCCTGTGGATTTACTTATCATCTCTATGCAGATGATTTCCAGACCTACACATCCAAGCTGGAGTCTCTCTTAGGTGCTCCAATCCCACATCTCCACCTGCCTAGTGGATATTCCAAAGTGGGTGTCCCAAACAGAATTCATTATCTCCCCCTTCACACCCCATTCCACTCAAACACTCCCATTTTCCAAACTTTCCTAGTACTGTAAAGGGTAACCACCATCCTCCCAGCCTTCTAGACCGACAACCTGTGTCTCCATCGATTCCTCACTCTCAGCCCACATATCCAATCAATGACCAAATCTCCTTGTTTCTTCCTTTGAAATTTCTCATATGTAGGCTCTTCTCTCCCCTCTCACATTCCACACCTTCAGTTAGCCCCTCATCACCTCTTGCCTGGACTCCTACAATAAGCTTTCTAATTGGCATCTGTGCCTTAAGTCTGTCCCCACTCTAATCTATCCTTCACACAGCAGCCAAAGTGATTTTACTCAAGTGTAGGTAGGTGCACACACCCACCCACACCTACCCACACCCATACAATCCCTCCCCTGTACCCCCCACTCAGTAAACTGCAGTGGTTCCCTATTATCTCCAGGATCAAATAGGAAGGCCTCAATTTGGCATTTAAGGCTTTTCATGACTTGGCCCCTTTCTGCCTTTCCCAGTCTTCTCACACTTTACTCCCCCTCCACACACTCTATGGTCTGGCGATTGCAGGGTTTTCCTACTCGATTGTCCTTACACAGGACACGACATCTTGCATCTCCAAGCTTTCCCTGTATCTGGAATGTTCCCTCTCCTCATTTTTGCCTCTTGACATTCCTGGCTTCTTTTAAGCCTCAGCTCGACTACCACCTTCCACAAGAAGCCCTTAACCATTAGAAGCCTTAGAAGAACCTTCCTGTCTCAGGTGACTTCCACCTTCTCTGAATGTCTCTTTTCTGTATCTATCTATTTACATGTTGTCTCCCCAGCTAGAATGTAAGCTCCTTGAGGGCAGGGACTATTTTTCTGTTTTGCCTTTCTTTGTACCCTTAGTACTTAACACAGGGCCTGACATATATAATGTTCTATTGGACTCTTACGTCCCCAATTGGGGTATTCTTGGCAAAGATACTGGAGCGGTTTGCCTTTTCCTTCTCCAGCTCATTTTACAGATGAGGAAACTGAGGCAAACAGGGTTAAATGACTTGCCACCCAGCTAGCATCTGAGGCCAGACTTGAACTCAAGAAGATGAGCCATTCTGACTCCAGGCTCAGAGCTCTATGCACTAGAGCACCACCTAGCTGCCCAGTACAAATAATGAGTGCTTAACAAATGCTTACTGATCGATTTCTCTCTCACTTCCATGCCACATCGTTCCATCTAGAATTCACTCATGCCTCTCAGAGACTCAGGATAAACTACACTCATGAACCATCCACCTATTGTTGGCCTTGGCACCAAGGTGGAAAAGTCACTCTGAGGTTGAGGAAGCCACAGAGAAGCCACAGATAAGCCAAGCTCCTGGGAGGCGGGGACAGAGCCTTCTCCTGCCATTAGACCAATCCCCTGCCTTTATTTAAAGGCAGAAAGTGAAAGCCATGGACTGAAGATATTCCGTAATTTGGCTAAACCATATCCCTGCTTATCACATCCCACAGAACGTCAGAGCTGGAAGGCGAGGGTAATAAGGCAACAAACATTTATTAAGAGGACCTTAGAACACAGAGTACCAGAGCTGGTGAGGGGAACTTAGAAGTGATCTAGTCCAGGGTCACATAGCTACTAAGTGCTTGGGGTGCCTAATTTCATAGGGCCAGGATCTGAGAGAAGAGAGAGGAAAAGAAGCTTGCCTAAGGAACACAGTGAGTTAGTGTTTACCTATTCCTCTTGCCTTGGGTGGACCACCCCTCCCCCATCTCTTTTATCAGATTCAGAGCAAGCCTATAGCTCTGAGCCCCCAACCAGATTTCCAACCCCCACATTAGTCTTTTTAAGCCCCTTCTTTCTTCCTTGGGTACAAATGCTCCACCCGGCTAGGGATGCCTCTTCTTGGCAGAGATGCCAGACTCGTATCCTTGATCATGGTCTGCCCGTGGCCTTCTGGACAGGATCCCTCCCTAGCTCTACTGTGACAGCCTCATCTCCCTTGACCCCAACTTTCCCAGGCCTCAGAACCAGGTAGTATAGCCAAGCTGGAAACTGTGAGCCCTCAGTATGTGGGGTCCCTCCTGAACCTGTAGCACGCTTGGCCTTTAGCACTGGGGGGGGGGGAGCGTGGAGGGGAAGTCCTGTTTGCTCCACCTCAAAATATTGATTTCTCTGTGGATTGAGATGGGGTAAGGGAGGGAAGGAAGAAGCTACAGTAGAGAACCCAGAGCCCATAATGAGAATCCCTAGCCCCATTTGACAGATGGACATATGAAGGCTCCACGAGTTGATGAGGAGATTTGGCAAGCCAGAAGACTGCTCCTCCTCCCAGGAGAGGGATGGAGGGGTGACACTAGGTGTCAACAGAAAGAACCTTGGACTAGAAGTCAAGAGAGCTTACTTTCAGTCTTGTCTCCACAAACTGCTGTGTGGCCTTCAGCAAGCTGCTTTCCTTGAGTGTCAGCGTCTTCAAAAGGGTTAACAATCCCTGCCTTAGCTCCCTCTCACAGATGTGAGAGTCAGTAATAGCTAGCATTTATAGACAGCTTGAAGATTTGCAAAGCACTTTACATATATTTGATGCTCACAACAACTCTGGGGGGGGTGTGTGTGCTATTATTATCCCCATTTTACAGATGAGGTAATTGAGGCAGAGAGGTCAAGTCAGTCGGTAAACATTTATGAAGTGCCAGGCACTGCGCTAAGCTCTGGGGATATAAAGGAAGGCAAAAGATGACTCCTGCTTTCAAGGAGCTCACAGGTCAAGTGACTTGCCTAAGACCACATGGCTAGTAAATGTGTGAGGCAGGATCTGCACTCCGGTTTTCTTAACTTGTAGTCCAGCACTCTCTCCACTGCACCAACCCAGACAAATGAGAGAATGTGAAAGTACTAGAGGCTCTAGAGAAGGAAGGCATCGCAGTCATTGGTTCTATTATTGTCATTGTGATTGTCACTGCTGGGACCAGGTGGCAGCCGAGCTTGCTCGAGCCTCCCAGTTGGGATCCTTCAGCCCCAGGGCTCCGATTTGTTCCGCCCCAGTCAGGGAGAGGACACCTGTGCCTACACCAGAGGTCAGGAGGAAGGGCAGCTTTCCCCTGCCCCAGCCTCAGTGCTCCTGCTTCCCCCCCCCCAAAGCAGTACTGAAGTTATCCAAGAGACTCCCTCCGGTAATCCCTCTCCTGGACTGTTCCCCCACCCGTGCCTTCTTCTTTAAAGGCACACGAATCTCCGAGCTAAGTTGGCTCCCCCATCCCCTGATTATTTATTTGGTAGCTCAGAGACTGAGGGGAAGTGGTTGCCATGGGGACCTGTAGCTCCCTCCCTCTCCTCACCACCCCTAGGCACTTCTGTTTCTTCTATTAGGATGCTCTTCTGTGTCTAGACACTCGCCCAAGGGTTGGAGAAAGGGAGGCTCTAAATAATGCAGGTGGGCCCCTGGGAAGTTGGCTGGGGAAGGGCATGGGCCTGTGGGCTGGGCTTAGGTTGCAGCCACCCAAGGCTGGATTCAGCTCTAAGCTCATACAGTTCTTATGCCCAAGTCTCTGCCAACCAAGTTCTATTTTCATGCTCAAAGGGCCAGCAGCCCAGTTTTCCCTGCTGCAGCTCGTGGGGCACTGATGACTTCTTGCTGACCCCCTCTCTCCCTCCCTCAGGCCAGGGTGGCCCATACCCGGGAAGCGGAGGATTACGGATGGGGTCATGCTAGCATCTGCCAAGCACTTAGCTCCCCTCTCCAGACAGGTGTACTTCACCTATGGGCTCAGGGCTCCCATATCCTGCCGGTGGTCAGCACCTCAACAAGAAATATACAAGAAGCTAATAATAGCTAGTAAAAAGAAGTAGTGTTTATACGGTGCTATAAGATTTCCAAACCCCTTTACGTGTTATCTCCCAACAGGTAGGTGCTATTATTATTTCCATTTTAGAGTCACCTGAAGCTCAGAAAGGTTAAGCACCTTGCCTGGAGTCACCCAGCTGGTGAGCGTCTGAGACAGGATTTGAACCCAGGTCTACCTGGATTCAGACACGCCATCCAGCTGTCTTTGAAAAGTCACCTACACCAAGTCAGGTTAATAAGCACTTATTAAGTGCCTACCAGGTGCCAGGTACTGTGCTAAGCTGGTCCCTGTTCTCTTCACACTGACTTCCCTCTGGGTTCGTGTTCCTGCCTCTGCTTTGCTCTGACTCTCAGTAAGAGTATATGGGCTCCTGCTGGCTCAGCTGGACTTTGACGGAACGGCTCAGCTGATGGGCTGACACATAAAAGGCCCTTGAGGCTTGGGAAGCCCTTCATACACATTGTCTCTCATTCAGTCCTCACGTCCTGGGTGACAGAGGGGCAGGGCTGGAATGTCGTCCCAGAGAAGTTAAGACATTTGTCTATGGTCATATAGCTGGTGAGTGTCAGAAGTGGGATTTGAACCCAGATCTTT